TTTTTTTTTTTAAAATTAAAAAAAAAAAAAAAAAAATTATTATTATTAAAATTTTTCGAGCCTCAATGAAGCACATATCTATCGATTATCATCTCTTTTGGATTCAATAAGTAATTTTTTGTTCTCTTACGTCTCCATCAAATATCAGTTAGCAAACACTTTTACAAAGCTACTATCATCCTCAACCTTTTGTTCATTTAGAATTAACAGTGTTGTATCCAAAGGAAGTAGTGCCTTGTCAGGATATGGTAATGGACAACTATGACAACAAATCAATCAAAAGGATGACGTTCACCCTTGTAGGATTCTATTTTAGGATAATGCTGATGGTGTACACACAGCCTTACACCCCCCTCATATGGAGGGGGGCTCACGAATATTTTATTACATGTGGACCTCCTTCCATGTGAGCGGGGTGTAAGGTTATGTGTACATCATTGTGTACACACAGCTCTATTTTATCTTTATAACTGTATAGAACGATAGATTACAAAACTTTATCCTTATCTAATTGTTAGCTCTTGTTTGGGCTCCATTGAAATGAACTTTTGAAGCAAAATATATTTTGAAATAGCATTTTTTGTTTTTTTAAAGAATGTGGTTAAAAAACGTGTTGTTGACACACTAAAAATGCAGTCCAAATCGAATAGCCCAAAGAATAAAGCTCAATTGGACAATTCATGATAAAGGCCCAAATAGAGTTATTAATGAATACAATAGAAGCCCACGAACGCGGTAACATCATCGCCCAAACTTGCAAGACACCCAAAATCTGAACGAATGAAGTGCATTGCAGTCGTCCAGAGTTATGACCCTGTTCTCGCACAAAATTTCGAATCGCCCAGAATCTTCGCAAATATAATATGTTATGGTTATCTAAAAGTACAGTTATCGAAGCAATTATTGAGTAATCTTATCACGTTCTACGATTCAAGGAGTTCAGTTGAAGACGATTGAGCGACAAAGAGTAGTGGTAGCAGTTAGAGACGACAGTTCCACGATAAGTTGGCCACCATGAAGAAAGTGGGCAGTTATAAAGCAATTAAGCGGTTTCTAAACGGTTGATCATGAAAAGATCATCAAGAGAATATAAAAGGAAGAAAAAGCATAGAACAAAGGACCCCGAATCAAGCACTCTCAAACAGAGAATATGTAATTTCAATTTCTTGGTTTAGACTTAAAATATTTCTTTTCAGTACTCGTGTGCTTGCGTCTGCGCCCCTTGGAGGCATTATGTTTAAGTGCTAATTGTAAAGTCATCGTCAATAAAACGTCCATTTTTGAAACTTTGTCTCAAAAGATTTGTTCCTTACACAATCGTCTGATCCCTTTTTAATTGTTAGCGACAACCCGCGCGAAACACATGTAATATTATTTTATTTAAGAATGTACGGTTGAAAAAAATGCATTTTAAGTAATATGGTCATAGTCATCATCTCGTTGTAACTATTATAAATAGTGGTCCACATTATAGTGAAGGACAATGCTATACCTACAAAATGTTTTCACATATTTTTTTGACAGATAACACATGTTGCAGTTTCTTTGGAAGATGAAAAACTAGGGCATGAGTAGCCTTATTAATTTGTAGTAGAAAAAAAAAATATTGGATTTTTGTAGTTGCATGGTCTCCTTAGATTGAGTTGTAGATTTTGGGCGACATTACTCTGTATATTTAGTCGATGAAATTAATAGATATTTTAGTTTCGCGAGACTATCTGCTATTTTTACCAACTACAGTTATCTTATTCGACAGTTTTTGCCAAATACTATTTGTTGCAAAAACTGTCATGCAATACTGATAGAAAACTTATACTAACAGTGCAATGAACAAGATCCTTTGTACCAAAATATAACAATGGAGATGGAAAAAACCTCTATGATTTTGAAAATTGAGAAATGGGTTTCGTTTGTCCATGTTTTTAATTGACATCTACAAATCTTAACCAGTACAATCACAAAACTAACACAACATACCAAACGGAACATGAAGCAGAGAAGCAATTTGTTTTCTGCAAAATCGTAAACTAGATATCATCAACTGCGGTATACTGTGTCTGTGACAGGCGCAAAACAATTCTTGATAGCAAGAAAGACTTTGCGAATCAGACTATTTTGATTGTGAATACAGACAACTGTTAAAACAGGCGAACAACATATGTGAAACAATGAATGGCACTATTAACCTGCTGAGCACATATTGATCCCGTCCTTACAATCGTTAGTCAAGTTGTAGAACGTCTCTACTCGTGTCTTTGCTCTATAAAGGACCTCAGTATCGACTTCAACTCTCATGTAGCCGTCAAACTCAACAGGGCGACCACCATTCAGAATTCTCGTCTCATTGTACCACTCACTCGTGTTTCCCCATAAATACTTGTAATCATCAAGCAAATGAATTTTGTAATGAGATCTCAACTTATCAAAGTAATTGTAGAATGGTTCGTTGGTGGCAATGTACAAATTTCTCCAAGGTTCAATCATCCCTTGAAGCTTAGTAACAAGGGCATCGGGTGATGTATCGGCATCCAAATTAGGCCACAGCCCCTTATTCTGTGCTTTCTCTCCTCTTACCACGTGAACTGCATCAAAATCCCAGTCCATGCTCCCACTAATAGCAGAAACTATGTTCATTAATCTCTTTGATTTCCAAATCGCATGCCATGGCCTTTCAATATATTTAGCTGTCGGACCTTCACAAACCCTGTACCAATAGTTTTCCGGCTCGGGAGCGTCAAATTGCCTCCATATGATCGAGCTTTTGTCTTTCCTTAATTGCATTGGTGTCACCTTATAGCTTGCAACCTTTCTAACTGGAATTTTCGTTTTATGAGTCTTGTCCCATCTCTTCCAATCTCTGAGAAAATCACCTTCATCGACAACAGAAGATACTTCTTTCAGATGTTCAAAATCAAAATAGAATCGAAAATCTTTTCCTTCCTCGTCCTTGTTGCTTTGTGTATAAGTTGATGCTAGACAAATGCTCAAATCCATAACAAATGTACGATTCAAATACTGGGCCTCACCAAGGGCACACAAGAAGCTCCAAAGATAATGATTCATTCCTTTACAATAGTCTCCTCCTCGTGAATAGTACAAGTACTTCCCCTTTCTAAATGCTGAATCTGATCCCAACACAGGAATTGTATCATTGATCTCATTGTCTAGCACTGATGGAGCAATTTTAGCCTTTTGATCATTTCCAGTGGCACTAATTCGACTCCTTGGACGGCGTGCATTCAAACCAGAATGCCATCGTCCTGGATGAATCACCTTGTAACTACAATCATCCTTAAAGCCCACCTTAAACCTCCGGAAATCCCTATACTTTCTCCAAGACCTCTCTTTCTTGTTCCTGAACCTCCACGCCACGTCACATTCATCAGGTTTCGATCCATTCACTGGTGTTTGATAATCCAAAAACACAATTGACTTAAAAGTCCTCAAATTAAACCTCTGGATAGCAATTAAAACCCTAGGATCTGAACAATTGACTACATTCACATCTCCGCAACCCAATTTCAAGGTCAAATTTTTCTCAAGTTCCTCTTCGGATTTCTCAATAGAAGCTTCAGTAATCGGGATCAACGATCCTGTAGGCGATGACACTGGCACAATGCCAATGTCCTCGCCCGTTTTAAGGACGGAAGAATCCGTCTTGAAAGTGGCATTTTCTACCTCTGTGAAGACCTTGGTCAAAGCTCTAGAGGACTCCCACGGATCCGGAGGTTGGTATGTGATTGCAATTACAGTAAATATAAGGACTGAGAACACAAATACTGAGAAACAGACATTGCTTATCAGCTTAATTAAGTTTTGCCCAATGGGATCTGTAGGATTCAGTTCTTTCATTTACGCAGAGCTCTAAAACCTTTGAATTCAAACTGAGTTCAGCAAAATTGTCAATGCAAATACATTAACTTCAGCTAAAGAACGGATCTTTGAGATTTAAATGAGGAAAACAACCAAATGGGATAGTAAAATTCATATAGAAACAATTGTATGCAATAGAATAATATTGAATTTACATAGCGAAGTCCTCACCTGATCTGAAATTGACCTCAAAGATTGAAGAAACGAATAAAATGGATCTTGGAATTGAGATTGGTATTAGGGGGTTTAATCAACAATCAATTGCGATTGACCCTCGTCTAAATTATTGAAAAAGATCAGATCTTGAACGGTAGAGAGAAAACTAGGAACTAGGGTAAAATACAATAATCCCAGATCCAGCTTGGCAATACACTTCAAGAATTAGACTGTAAGTTTGGATCTTCATTCTTGAAATTGTTAAATTGATGACGGTAATTTGTTTGGATGAAAGAAAAAGAGGTGAATAGAGTAGGGCTTTTGGTCAGAAAATTAGACTTGAAGAAACAACAATCCAGACAGGAAAAATAAAAGAAAATGGAGAGAGATTTCGAAAGATTTCTGCCTTCAATTTGAAGTTTTTTACGGTTAAAAAAAATAAAAAAAATAAATAAATAAATGAGAGAAATGTTTGGACTTGGAAGAAAAAAATATCGCTATGGTTTATTTGGTGTCCAGTGGCTGTCACCATAGTATCACCATGGCTTGTTGGGACTTAATGAACCGACAACAAAAGTAAGGGGGTGTTCTCTTTGTGTTTCAGTTTTGTGTTTTGAGTTTTGAATTCATTTTGAGTTTTGTATTTTGAGTGTTTGTTTTGAAATTGTTGAAAATGCGTTCTTTTTGTTAGTTTCTCAAAGCAAAAAAAATAATTTTTTTTTAAATTTTGAGAATCACCACAACCCCACCTCAAAACACCAAAAAAAAAAAAAAAATTAATTTTTATTTTTTTTTTTGAAATTTTGAGAATCACCACACTATCTCCTCAAACAAAAATTTTTTAATTTTTATTTTTTTTTGAAATTTTGAGAATCACCACACCCCCTCCTCAAAAAAAAAAAGAAAAAAAAAGAAGTGTTTCCCGCGTTTTCAATTTTTTCAAGTTTTACACTGAAAACGCCCAAAACGACAAAAAAGTCGTTTTGTGTTTTCTTCACAAATTTTTTTTCGTTTTCGAAAACATTTTCGAAAATTCGTTTTCGAAAACGGAAAAGAGAACACGTTTTCACCGTTTTGAAAAATCGAAAACAGAAAACGACCCGAAAACGGTAAAGAGAACAGGGCCTAAGTTTTTATAGATGTTCTGATCAATGGCAAAGACAGCATACAAAGAGTATAGATTTTTTTTTTTTTTAACAAGAAAATAATATATGATGGTATTTTTTTAATTCTTCTTTACAAATTTTCGTACTTCGAAATTGCCCNTTTTTTTTTTTTTAACAAGAAAATAATATATGATGGTATTTTTTTAATTCTTCTTTACAAATTTTCGTACTTCGAAATTGCCCTCATAATGATCACTTTATCAATTGTTAATTAAGTTGTCTAGACAACATTGCGAAGAGTAAAAATCTGAGAATAAATCACAATTATTTAAAACTAAAAGTAATGAAAAGGTAATGCAGTCATCCAATAGAACTAACGAAGTCCTACTCAAAACTCATGTGTACATTCCAGCCTACCCCATTGATCAATCCTACCTTTAGACAATGGAACAAATCTCCGACTGTGAGGACAACTGTCATCAAACTCTTTCCATTCATTCTCATTCCTTTCCCACCAAATCACTATGTCAATTCGCAACACCATCTTCCCGTGTGTTCTTTTCTTGTCAAGATCATAAACGGCGTGCTATTGTGCAAACCAATAAAATTTCTCCTTCATTTTTTGATTCAGTTTCTTGATTAGGGGATAATGAATTTTCATATTCCTCAGTAGATAGGAAAGTTGGAGAAATAGCTGTAAAACTCTGTAAATCTCATTTCCTGTGGTGTGAGAATTACAGGGTATTAATACAAAACCCAATCGTCAAACACAGAGATTTGAATATTACACTGATTTTGCCTCTAATCTAAACCATCCGGCATCAAGATTTCGACAATCTTAGACACAATCAAATGTACCCGTTTTATCATTGTTAAATCCGTCAAGGCTAAATGCCATTTCATCATTGCCCAACAATTGGACTGGAGTTTGCATGACAGCTCAATAGATCTCTATCTTGATGCCAGTGAAAATTAACTAGCATCAATGTTCAATAAGTGCAAACTTGATTTAAACTTGTTTTATAGGTTGTACCTTGGTTTCCATATTAGATGGATTGTATTGTGTAGGAATTTTCTCAAGAAGTAATGCTTCTTTAGAAATTGCATCTCTAATACGTGCAATTTAAAATCAACATGTTTAGTTCTTTCATGGAAAACAGGCTTTCTACACAAGTGTATTGCATTCTGACTATCACAATATACAATACAATTATTGGTTCTTTAAGTTCATTTATTTTAGTCAACAAACCTTTAAGCATAAAGCTTCCTTTTATAGCTTCAGTAGTAGCAACATATTCAGCCTTAATTGTGGATAGAGCAACAATTTGTTGAAGTTGAGATTTTCAACTAACGCAAGTACCACATAAAGTAAACATGTATATAGTTGTGGATTTCCTATTATCCCTGTCCCTCCAAAATCAGCATCTACATATCCTTTAAGTACAACATCCTCATTGCAGGCTTTAAAACATAGTCCTAATTGTGAAGATCCCATCAAGTACCTCAAAAGTCATTTTAAAGCAATCTAGTGTTCAGGGTCAGGATTGGCCATAAACCTGCTTATGGTATCAATAGCATAGGCCACATCAGGCCTAGTACATACCATAATGTACATAACATATCCTACAGCATCTGCATATGACACCTTTTTCCATATATATAATGTCAGATTCATCTACAAAGCATTGTTCTTTACTTAATTTAAAATGTCTTTCAAAAGTAAGGTAACAGATTTGGATTCATGCTGAGCAAATTTTGATAACACATTTTCCACACAAGAAATTTGTTTAAAAAGCAGCAATTATTTTTGCTTGTTTCTTCTAATATCCATATTTAAGATTTTTTTAGCATGATCTAAATCTTTCATTTCAAATTTAGAACACAAAGATCTTTTAATCTCATGAATGCATTTAATGTCATGTACAATCAGTAACATATCATCCACACATAACAACAGGTAAACAATCCCAGCATCATCATTATTTCTTTTAAAATATAGACATTAGTCAAATGAGGTTCTAATAAAGCCAATAGAAGAAGAAAAAAAGTGTCAAATCTTTTGTACCATTGTCCAGGAGATTGTGTTAAACCATATAAATATTTCTTTAATAGACAAACATGATCGGGTTTAAGTTTATTGATAAAACCCTATGGCTTCATAATATAGATAGTCTATCTAAGCCCTCATGCAAGAAAGCTATTTTAACATTAATCTGTTCTAGTTTAATGTCATAATGAGCAACAAGGGCCAGCATTACTTTAA